GATTAGTGAAGTGGTGCCAGGTGGCCCATTCATTAGCTTGCGGCTTCGCATTTCCTCTTTCTGCGCTAGCGCTCGAGCGGCGCCGCTGGGCAAGTTTCTAGGCGTGCGGTGCAGGCTGAACCTGACATTGCCATCCTTGCTTCCATATAGTCCAGTAGATCGATGTGGCTTTGTGTCCTTAGGATCTGGCCTATCATGACTGGGGTCTGCCCTCACTTGCTTCTCTTTCTGCTTTCTCTGACTTGTTTCTGCTGTTGGGTTGCCTGCCAGCTCCTGAGGCTGAAAGCTTCTTGGATCAGGCTCTTCAGCCTCTGACTCAGTGGAAGCCATAACAGAGGCGGAAATACAGGCACGAACATTGGCAATCCATGAGATGCCTTAAATAATTGGTGATTCAAGTGCTGTAAGCAGAACCCTCAAGCCCATTTAGCAAACGCACCCCCTTTCTTCGGGGAGGAAGTTTTAGCCGTAGCAGGAATGGAACATGAAATGGGCGACGTATAAATTTGATTAATAAATAAATGAACAATAAATAATAAACATAGTTCCACCTGTTATGGGGAAGAGGCTGGTGGCAGAACTGCACTTTCTTCTTCCCCAGATAAACCACAATGTCACGTGGTAAAGTTCTCACTGATGTTGAGTACAATCCTTTTATCTGTTTAGAAAGTGTTGTTTTTGGAGCAGTGAGTAATTAAAAGAAATGGTATATTTGTTTGCAGGTGACTGTTCTGATCCTGTTTGCCCTTGCATTCCTTACATGCATTGGATTTCTGGTTGTCTACAAGGTCTATAAGTATGACCAAGCCTGTCCAGAAGGTTTCATCTTCAAGGTAAGGAAGATGACTGAAAACCAAAAGAAAAGCAGAAAGGAGGCTGCTGCACAGATGCTTAATCAGCAGGGTCTCCAGCAGGCTCAGTAAGGAGTATCATGAAAGAAGAGCAAAAAGATAAGGAGACAAGATGGTGGGACGATTTTCTGGCCTCCTGCTTTCCTGCGGCCATTTCCCCAGTGCTTTGTCAGCGGCGTCTTTGTGATGAGGGGAAAAGTTCTCATAGCCCAATGACCACCAATTGGACCTTGGGTCAAGTATTTTCCTCTGCTCCCAGACCAGAACCAAACTCTGGAGGGGTTTTTTTTTGGGTGGTGATACATAATGGGGTATTGATGAAGCCTGGTTTTAAGACAAAGCTTTTTTTTTTTT